GTTCAGCCGCCATCATGCGTTGGAACAGTGAGGAGCGGATGTTCTGTGATCGCAACCCAGTGCGCCTTTTGGAATCGCTTTAATTTAGCCCCATTGGCCCCTGTCCCGGACCGGAAATCAATTGTGACTACATTCAGACAAACTGCAATTGCAACAAGATGAAGAACTGGAGTCCCTCGGCCCATTAGATCACCTGAGAACATTGAGGCAGTGAGAGCTTCAATGTTGCGATCACCACGGCATTCTGCGCACAAACATGCGTCTGCCCTTGGACTTTCCAATCGTTCTGTGAAGAGAATTCTTCATGATGATTGAAGGAACTAGCGGAAGTCATTTCGGAACCATTGGCAACCATCTTTGAGAGTTCTTGGAGAACGGGAGAAGTTCCAGCAGATTGGAGGAGGGCCAATGTGGTCCCAATCTTCAAGAAGGGAAAAAGGATGACCCAAACAACTACCGTCCGGTCAGCCTCACGTCGATACCAGGCAAGATTCTGGAAAAGATTGTTAAGGAAGTGGTCTGCAAACACTTAGAAACAAATGCGGTCATCGCTAATAGTCAACATGGATTTATCAAAAACAAGTCATGCCAGACTAATCTGATCTCTTTTTTCGATAGAGTTACAAGCTGGGTAGATGCGGGGAATGATGCCGTGGATGTAGCGTACCTGGATTCCAGGAAGGCCTTCTTTGACAAGGTCCCCCATGACCTTCTGGCAAGGAAACTAGTCCAATGTGGGCTAGGCAAAACTACGGTGAGGTGGATCTGTAATTGGTTAAGTGGACGAACACAGAGAGTGCTCACTAATGCTTCCTCTTCATCTTGGAAAGAAGTGACGAGTGGAGTGCCGCAGGGTTCCGTCCTGGGCCCGGTCCTGTTCAACATCTTTATTAATGACTTAGATGAAGGGCTAGAAGGCATGAGCATCAAGTTTGCAGACGACACCAAATTGGGAGGGATAGCCAATACTCCAGAGGACAGGAGCAGGATTCAAAACGATCTTGACAGATTAGAGAGATGGGCCAAAACTAACAAAATGAAGTTCAACAGTGACAAATGCAAGATACTCCACTTTGGCAGAAAAAAATGAAATGCAAAGATACAGAATGGGGGATGCCTGGCTCGAGAGCAGTACGTGTGAAAAAGATCTTGGAGTCCTCGTGGACAACAAGTTAAACATGAGCCAACAATGTGATGTGGCGGCAAAAAAAAGCCAATGGGATTTTGGCCTGCATCAATAGGAGCATAGTGTCTAGATCCAGGGAAGTCATGCTACCCCTCTATTCCACTTTGGTTAGACCACACCTGGAATATTGTGTCCAATTCTGGGCACCACAATTCAAGAGAGATATTGACAAGCTGGAATGTGTCCAGAGGAGGGCGACTAAAATGATCAAGGGTCTGGAGAACAAGCCCTATGAGGAGCGGCTTAGGGAACTGGGCATGTTTAGCCTGAAGAAGAGAAGGCTGGGAGGAGATATGATAGCCATGTATAAATATGTGAGAGGAAGCCACAGGGAGGAGGGAGCAAGCTTGTTTTCTGCTTCCTTGGAGACTAGGACGCGGAACAATGGCTTCAAACTACAAGAGAGGAGATTCCATCTGAACATGAGGAAGAACTTCCTGACTGTGAGAGCCGTTCAGCAGTGGAACTCTCTGCCCCGGAGTGTGGTGGAGGCTCCTTCTTTGGAAGCTTTTAAACAGAGGCTGGATGGCCATCTGTCAGGGGTGATTTGAATGCAATATTCCTGCTTCTTGGCAGAATGGGGTTGGACTGGATGGCCCATGAGGTCTCTTCCAACTCTTTGATTCTATGATTCTATGATTCTGTGATCTTCATTTCCATCCTTACAAGATGGCGATTGTGCAGGAACTTTCTGAACGTGACTTCAGTTCTCGGAGGAACGCGTGTGAGGTTCTTCTTGAAGTCATTCCTGAGGATGCTATTGTGTTTTTTAGTGATGAAGCCCATTTTCGTATTATTATTAGTATTATATTGTATTACATTATCCAACGTTCTGTTGGCCCGTTTGTGTTGGATAAGCAAGACTCTATTGTAGTTTATTATTATGTTGTATTATGTTATTTTAACTAAGGCACATGGACAAACACAACACTGCCCCAGATGGTTTTTAAGATATTCAGAAGCACTTTAGACAAGTTAATTCTGGATCCTAGAAGGATGTAGTTAGTCACTAAGAACATATTTTTTATTAGCGTGACTAACGAAACCGAGCAATATTAAAATGCGGCAGAGGCCATTTCCTCTTCCGCTTTGATTCAAAGCAGCTGAAAACAATGGAAGCTGAAATATTTAAATATTTTTACTCTGTGATCCACTTTAACAAGTACATGCACATGCGTATAAATCAGTGTTTCTCAACCTGGGGGTCGGGACCCCTGGAGGGGTCACGAGAGGGTTTCAGAGGGGTCACCAAAGACCATTAGAAAACATATATTTCTGATGGTCTTAAAAATCCCTTTGGCATAGTTGTTTGGGTTCACAGTACTCTCTAGATGTAGGTGAACTACATCTCCCCTAAATCACTGTCAGTTCATCCAAAATCCCTCCAATATTTTCTGTTGGTTATGGGGGTTCTGTGTGGGACGTTTGTCCCATTTCTATCGGTGGTGTGATTCAGAGCGCTCTTTGATTGTAGGTGAACTATAAATCCCAGCAACTAGTACAACTCCCAAATGTCAAGATCTATTTTCCCCAAATTCCACCAGTGTTTACATTTGGGCATATTGAGTATCTGTGACAAGTTTGATCCAGATCTATCATTGTTTGATTCCACAGTGCTCTCTGGATGTAGATGAACTACAACTCCAAAACTCAAGGTCAATGCCTACCAAACACTTCCACTATTTTCTCTTGGTCATGGGAGTTCTGTGTGCCAAGTTTTGTTCAATTCCATCATTGGTGGGGTTCAGAATGCTCTTTGATTTTAGGTGAACTATAAATCCTAGTAACTACAACTCCCAAATGACAAAATCAATTCTCCCTCCAACCCCACCAGTATTGAAATTTGGCATATTGGATAAGGTAAGGTAAAAATTTTCCCCTGACATTAAGTCCAGTCATGTCCAAGACTGGGGGTTGGTGCTCAATTTCTAGACCGAAGAGCTGGTGTTGTCCATAGACACCTCCAAGGCCGACATGACTGCATGGGTATTTGTGCCAAATTTGGTCTAGTGAATGAAAATTCATCTTGCATTTCAGATATCTTCATTATGATTCATAACAATAACACAATTACCGTTAGGAAGTAGCAACGATAATTATCTTATGGTTGGGGGTCACCACAACATGAGGCCCTGTATTAAGGGGTCGCGGCATTAGGAAGGTTGAGAAACACTGGTATAAATGGATATGCGATATTTTAGAGCATTTAGATTGTGTATCCTGTGTCTCTCTCTATGTGATTGTTAAGTGGGCATGCTTTTGGCACAGAGGCTGTTCCAGCAAAGGTCACGGCACAATGCTGTCCATTGCTTCCAGGAAGAACGAAAAGCACAGCCCTCAACCAGTCTTTCCCGCATCTGTTTCGTCACTCTTTGAAAGTCAGAGTGACTGGACTATCAACAGAATAACGCCGCACGCTTTGTTTGGTTTTTTAAAAACATGCCTCCCCAAATCTTGAAGCACTTGTGGTATATGCTGCTGAATATGCTGCACATATTACATATGTGATACTTGGCTTTTAAGTCCTGATTCTTCCCCTCAAAAATGGCCCATTCCCCCAGGTCTTCTCTTTTAAGATACAATACAAAGCCACTCCTCCACCAAGGGAGGAGTGGTGGAATCTGTTTGAGCCAGCAACGTTATTGAGCATGACACAACCACTTTATTTTTATTTATTTGTCGTGTCAGAGCAGCCAGTCCATTATATTACATTTCTAACAGAACAAAGCAAACAAACAGACAAAATACACAACTTGTGAGTTTGGTAGTTGGTTAAATGTCCTTTGACCAGTATCTGGCCACTTGTTGCTGCAAGAAGGTCCTCCATTGTGCATGTGGCAGGGCTCAGGTTGCATTGCAGCAGGTGGTCAGTGGTTTGCTCTTCTCCACACTCGCATGTCGAGGATTCCACTTTGTAGCCCCATTTCTGAAGGTTGGCTCTGCATCTCGTGGTGCCAGAGCACAGTCTGTTCAGTGCCTTCCAAGTCGCCCAGTCTTCTGTGTGCCCAGGAGGGAGTCTTTCATTTGGTATCAGCCATTGGTTGAGGTGATGGGTTTGAGCCTGCCACTTTTGGACTCTCGCTTGCTGAGGTGTTCCAGCGAGTGTCTCTGTAGATCTTAGAAAACTATGTCTAGATTTAAGTCATTGACGTGCTGGCTGATACCCAAACAGGGGATGAGCTGGAGATGTCTCTGCCTTGGTCCTTTCACTATTGGCTGCTACTTCCCGGCGGATGTCAGGTGGTGCAATACCGGCTAAACAGTGTAATTTCTCCAGTGGTGTAGGGTGCAGACACCCCGTGATAATGCGGCATGTCTCATTAAGAGCCACATCCACTGTTTTAGTGTGGTGAGATGTGTTCCACACTGGGCATGCATACTCAGCAGCAGAGTAGCACAGCGCAAGGGCAGATGTCTTCACTGTATCTGGTTGTGATCCCCAGGTTGTGCCAGTCAGCTTTCGTATGATATTGTTTCTAGCACCCACTTTTTGCTTGATGTTCAGGCAATGCTTCTTGTAGGTAAGAGCACGGTCCAGAGTGACTCCCAGGTATTTGGGTGCGCTGCAATGCTCCAGTGGGATTCCTTCCCAGGTGATCTTCAGAGCTCGTGATGCTTCTCTGTTCTTGAGACACAACCACTGAAAGTGATTCAGCCAGTCCCCAAATGTTGGGAAACAGGGAGAAGGCAACAGAGAGGTTGAACTTGATCTTATTGAAAACTTTCCTCAACTTATAAGCTGTAGTAGTTATTGTTTGACGTCCCTATTATCTTCTTTCCCACCCCCAAAAATGTTTTTGTTTTTGTTTTGCAGAGGATACCAGAAGATTTGACCCTCGATGCCTTACTGGAAATGAATGAGTCAAAAGTGAAAGACACCATGAAGAGGTGTGGAGCCAGCCCAGAGGAGTGCTCTCGGCTCAATGGGGCCCTCGCTTGCTTGCGGAAAGTGACCCGAACAGGTAAAAGCCTTCCTGATTGATGGGGAGGAGAAAAACAAAAAGGGTGGGAGCGGAGAAAACCCAAAGATATGAGAAAGAGGGAGGGAAATTAAGCAAAATTGCCAGGTCGGAAATCTGGAAAAGAGCATTTAGCCATCTGCCCATCATGCTGAATGGTGGTGGGAGAAGGAGAGGAGAGAGAAATACAGAGAGAAAAGAGGGGGTGGCAGAAATAAATAAATACAAGAAATGAAGAAGAAAGGGAGAGAGAAAAGGCATTGCAGGAAAAACAGGTGAAAGGAAAGAGGGCTACAATGAAGAGAAAAGGAGACAATAGAGGAAAAATAGAGAGGTGGATTGGAAAGGGACAAAGAAGAGAAGTAGAGAAAATATACACTAGAGTCTTGCGTATTCGACCTTTGTTTATCCGACATTTCATCTTATCCGCCAGCATTTTCCCTTCAGTTAAAGGAGTACTCCCCAATTCTCTCTCCATTCCCAATAAGTGAAAAGGGCAAGACAAGGAGGAGGAGGATAGAATCATAGAGTTGGAAGAGACCTCATGGGCCATCCAGTCCAACCCCTTGCCAAGATGACTTTCTTTTTGTGAGGCAAAGAAGGCATTAAGTAGTTCTGCCTTTTCCCTATCCCCTGTCAGCATTGCCCCATCTTCTCCTCGAAGAGGCCCTATCGCCTCCTTGTTCTTCCTTTTCCTACTGACATAAGAAAAGAAGCCCTTTTTATTGTTTTTAATATCCCTGGCAAGCCTGAGCTCGTTTTGTGCTTTAGCCTTGCGGACCTTTTCCCTCCAGAAGTTGGCTATTTGTTTGAATTCTTCTTTGGTGTTTTCTCCCTTTTTCCACTTCTTGTGCATGTCTCTTTTGAGTCTTAGCACAGTTAGAAGTTCTTTGGACATCCATTCTGGCTTCTTTGCACTTGTCCTATTTTTTTCTCTTTATTGGCACTGTTTGCAATTGTGCCTTGAGTATTTCACTCTTGAAAAACTCTCATCCATCTGTAACTCCCTTGTCTTTTAGTATCTGTGTCCACGGAATGCTGCTCAGGAGGGAGGAAAAGGGGAAAAGAAGCAGGCCCAGAAGCGGAAGTGTTCTCCCTCCTTCCCTCTGTGATTTTCATGCTTCTCTTTCATATCCGGGCACATCCTGCTGGGCTGACTCAAGGGGTTTCACCCTTTGAGTCCCTGTTGTTAATAATAATAATAATAATAATAATAATAATAATAATAATAATAACAACAACAACAACAACAACAACAACAACAACAACAACAACAACAACCTTAATTTATACCCTGCTACCATCTCCCCAAGAGGACTCGGGGCGGCTAACATGAGACCAAGCTCAAAGATACAATACAGCAAAATAAATAGTGATGAGATGCTGAAGACTTGTGTTTTATGGTTTTTATTGTTTTATTGCTTTTATATGGTTTATGTTATATGCAATGTTTGGGGGCACTGACTGCTGACTGTAAACCGCCTCGAGTCGCCTCTGGGTTGAGAGGGGCGGTATATAAATATGGCAAATAAATAAATAAATAAAGTACAAAACAACGAAAAATTACATCACAATAAAATACATAAAGTAACGAGATAAAATAAGCAGTGCGAAATAACATAATGAAAAGTTGGTCACAATGGGCAGGCCAAATGACAAGATAAAATGATAAAACCCTGGAAGAGATGGGGCGGGGGGGGGGGGGAGAGTGTATTTTTAGGGGAGGAACCCGAAAAGGCTTAGGCCTACATTAAGGACTGGGGGGAAAGTGCATCAAGAGGAGAACACTGTAGTTGGAGCAGACAGAAATGGGATATATGGTCACTCTCCAAAGGCACATCAGAAAAGCCAAGTTTTCAGATCTTAGAATCATAGAATCATAGAGTTGGAAGAGACCTCATGGGCCATCCAGTCCAACCCCCTGCCAAGAAGCAGGAATATTGCATTCAAAGCACCCCTGACAGATGGCCATCCAGCCTCTGTTTAAAAGCTGCCAAAGAAAGAGCCTCCACCACACTCCGGGGCAAAGAGTTCCATTACTGAACAGCTCTCACAGTCAGGAAGTTCTTCCTAAAGTTCAGATGGAATCTCCTTTCTTGTAGTTTGAAGCCATTGTTCCGCGTCCTATTCTCCAAGGAAGCAGAAAACAAGCTTGCTCCCTCCTCCCTGTGACTTCCTCTCACATATTTATATATGGCTATCATGTCTCCCCTCAGCCTTTTCTTCAGGCTAAACATGCCCAGCTCCTTTAGCTGCTCCTCATAGGGCTTGTTCTCTAGATCCTTTATCATTTTAGTCGCCCTCCTCTGGACATATGTCACGCAACTCGTTCAGAACTGCCGAAGCTGTGCTAATGGAAACCTCAATGTCTTCATGAAATCCGCTAGAAATAATATCATACGAAAGCTGACTGGCACAACCTGGGGGTCACAACCAGACACAGTGAAGACATCTGCCCTTGCGCTATGCTACTCTGCTGCTGAGTATGCATGCCCAGTGTGGAACACATCTCACCACGCTAAAACAGTGAATGTGGCTCTTAATGAGACATGCCGTATTATCACGTGGTGTCTGAACCCAACACCACTGGATAAATTACACTGTTTAGCCGGTATTGCACCACCTGACGTCCGCCAGGAAGTAGCAGCCAATAGTGAAAGGACCAAGGCAGAGATATCTCCAGCTCATCCCTTGTTTGGGTATCAGCCAGCACGTCAACTATTTAAATCTAGAAATAGTTTTCTAAGATCTACAGAGACACTCGCTGGAACACCTCAGCAAGCGAGAGTTCAAAAGTGGCAGGCTCAAACCCAGAACCACAATCAATGGCTGATACCAAATGAGAGACTCCCCGCTGGGCACAGAGAAGACTGGGCGACTTGGAAGGCCCAGCTCTTTAAGCCGCTCCTCATAGGGCTTGTTCTCCAGACCCTTGATCATTTTAGTCGCCATTCTCTGGACACATTCCAGCTTGTCAATATCTCTCTTCAATTGTGGTGCCCAGAATTGGACACAATATTCCAGGCGTGGTCTAACCAAGGCAGAATAGAGCATGGGTAGCATTACTTCCCTAGATCTAGACACTGTGCTCCTATTGATGCAGGCCAAAATCCCCTTGGCTTTTTTTGCTGCCACATGACATTGTTGAAGGCTGGTAGGGTGGGGGCTTGCCTAATCTCACCAGGTAGCGAGTTCCAAAGTCGGGGGGCTACAGCGGAGAAGGCTCTCTCCCTCATTCCCACAAGTCATGCCTGAGATGGAGCAAGGTGTCTAGCACCACGTTAGATGGGTAATAGGAGGAGACTCCATATTATCCGACATTTTCATTTATCCGACATTCTGCCTGCCCATTTATGTCGGATAAGCTAGACTTTAGGTTCTTGTGGGTTTTTTCGGGCTATAGGGCCATGTTCTAGAGGCATTTCTCCTGACGTTTCGCCTGCATCTATGGCAAGCATCCTCAGAGGTAGTGAGCTAGACTTTACTGTAATGGCAGAAAACATCAACCGGGAAATGTAGTAGGAGAGCGAATGAGAGAAAAGATGTGCCACCCATCTATCAATATGGAGGGGTCCTCTATAGACTCTCTTCACTGATAATAGATCAATGCCCAGCAAAGAAAAAGAATCCCTATTCTTTCTTTCTGTCCCCAGAAATGGGGACATTTGTGTCCTTTACATGTGCAAATAGAAGCACTTTGGCCTAATCTTTATTGATGCTGCATTCAAGAGGCACGGTTTGAAGCCCCCTTCCCGCTCCTCATCAAACTTATTATTCGTGTTTATTTAGCCATTTCCCTATAATATAGTCATTCAGGTGAAATTCTGCATTATATTAGCAGTATGACTCATTGTAATATGAATGGACCAACGACTGAGGAAGATGGAGGGACCTCTTAGCCAGAGCCTGGAGAGGAACATCATGACCTGCACCAATATGTGTTTTGTGTTCTTTTTCGTAATGAATGCACTGTGAAATAATGAGCCATTTCAAGCAATTTTGGACCCTTTCACATTTTATGCCATTTTGATATTAGTCATGAGGTTTCTCCACATGCATCAAAGTAATAAGAGGCACAAAGCAATGACACACGAATGAGTTGCCTTGACAGCATCACAACTAAATAAAACAAGATGTTGCTTTAAAAACATTATAACAAGGAATTGTTACTGTTATTTGTTATTTATTTGCAGTATTTATATTCCACCTTTCTCGCCCCGAAGGGGACTCAGAGTAGAGCACAGAACATATGAGAGTTATCCGGAAAGTCAGGTTATAAGATTTTTTAAAAATCCAAAGAATAAAAATAATAAACTAATATTATTTTACTAAAACTTATCTGGATTGTAGCATATGTGTTACATTATTTTTCCACATAATCACCATTCAGTTCAATACATTTTGTCATCCTCGGGACACATTTTTGATCCATGTGTTATAGAAGTTTCCCTCCAACTTTTTCAGCCAGTTCGTCACTTCAGTTTTCACCTAGGCATGGTCGGAAAAGTGTTTTCCACCCAGGTGTTATCATAGAATCAAAGAGTTGGAAGAGACCTCATGGGCCATCCAGTCCAACCCCCTGCCAAGAAGCAGGAATATTGCATTCAAATCACCCCTGACAGATGGCCATCCAGCCTCTGTTTAAAAGCTTCCAAAGAAGGAGCCTCCACCACACTCTGGGGCAGAGAGTTCCACTGCTGAACAGCTCTCACTGTCAGGAAGTTCTTCCTCATGTTCAAATGGAATCTCCTCTCTTGTAGCTTGAAGCCATTGTTCCACGTCCTAGTCTCCAAGGAAGCAGAAAATAAGCTTGCTCCCTCCTCCCTGTGTTCCTTCAATTGAGTGAACAGATGATAGTCACTGGGTGCAGGATTGGGGCTGTGACAACAGTAGCTTAAAAGATCCCAACCAAAGGAAGTCAACCACTCTTGTGTTGCATGAGCGGTGTGCGGACACGCATTGTCATGAAGGAGACAGACTCCCGCCATCAGCATCCCACAACGTTTGTTTTAGACGGCTCTGTGAAGTTTCTTCATGGTCTCACGATATATTCCATACGCATTTTGTCTTGACTTCGCATCCTCTCCATAAACTGAAACGATTTCGTGATAAATTGCAGTACTATTCATGCCCTGAGCATTTAGGTAGCATATTACAGCGCAAACTTTGCAATTGGAGAGAAACTGAAGAGGACACTCATCTCTAACCTTCACCACAACACCAGTGGATGAGCTACTGACGACTGGCACTGCTCGTTTGCTTCTACTGACTTCCCGGTATAAGGCAGTGATACCAACTTCCCCTGCGAAAATTCCCTGTGAGAGCTACGTACCTTGTAGCTTATTTTCCGGATATTGCTCATACAGCATGAACTTCAAACTTGGAGGAAAACGGAATGAGGATGCTCATCTCTAACCTTCACCACAACACCAGTGGATGAACTACTGACAACTGGCACTGCTCGTTTGCTTCTGCTGGCTTCCCGGTATAAGGCAGTGATACCAACTTCCCCTGCTAAAATTCCCTGTAATTTATTTTCCGGATATCACTCATACAGCATGAACTTCACACTTGGAGGAAAACGGAATGGGGATGCTCATCTCTAACCTTCACCACAACACCAGTCGATGAGCCACTGATGACTGGCACTGCTCGTTTGCTTCCACTGGCTTCCCGCTACACGGTAGTGATACCAACTTCCCCTGCAAAAATTCCCTGTGAGAGCAACGTACCTTGTCCCAGATCCAATTCTCGTATCAATATCTTAAAGAAGTCCCAGTTTAGTTTATCAAATGCCTTTTCAGCATCAATTGATAGGATGGCAATTTTTTTCTGGTGATTAGTCTCATAATATTCCAGAAGATCCAGTAACATACAAATGTTTTCTTTCATATGTCTATTCGGGAGAAACCCAGTTTGTTCCTCTCCTATCCAGTCACTTAAAAACTCTTTTAGTCTTGTGGCCATAATGTTTGCTAATATTTTATAGTCCATATTTAACAGAGAAATCGGTCTATAATTTTTAATGTCCGTATCCAGTATTCCTTCTTTGTGTATCACTGTAATTTCTGCTTTCTTCCAAGAGTCTGTTTTTTTTTTTATAAGAGTCTGGTATTTTTTGATATGTCATTGCGTCATTTAAAATTGTTTTTAATATTGGTTTTAGAACTTGTTTAAAAGATTCCCGCTACACGGTAGTGATACCAACTTCCCCTGAGAAAATTCCCTGTGAGAGCTACATACCATGTAACTTATTTTCCGGATATTACTCATACAGCATGAACTTCACACTTGGAGGAAAATGGAATGAGGATGCTCATCTCTAACCTTCACCACAACGCCAGTCGATGAGCCACTGACGACTAGCAGTGCTCGTTCGTTTCCACTGACTTCCTGCTACACGGCAGTGATACCAACTTCCCCCGAGAAAATTTCCCACAAGGGATACTTTTTTGTTTTTGTTTTTTCCATGTCACTTCTGGTGTGAGAGAACTGGCCATCTGCAAGGACGTTGGCCAGATGTGTTACCATCCTTTGGGAGGCTTCTCTGATGTCCCTGCATGAGAAGATGGAGCTGAGAGACGAGAGTACACTCCACTCCCCGGATTCGAACTGCCGACCTGTCAGTCAGCAGTCCTGCCAGCACAATGGTTTAATCCAGGGGTCTTCAAACTGTTTAAACAGAGGGCCAGGTCAAACTGTTGGAGGGCTGGATTATAATCTGAAAAAAAAAACCTGAATGAATTCCTGTGCACACTGCACATATCTTATTGGTAGTGCAAGGAACACTTAAAAACATTACAATAATTAAAAATTTATTTATTTATTTATTTATTTATTTTGTTATTTGAACTTATATGCCGCCACTCCCCTGGGGCTCGGAGCGGCTTACAAAAATGGCTAAAATCTAACACAATTTAAAAACAATTTAAAAACAATTTAAAACAATTTAAAAACGGCAATATCAAAAATCAAAGGCCTGTCGAAACAGGTATGTCTTACATGCCCTGCGGAAAGCTGATAAGTCCCGCAAGGCACGGACTTCAGGTGGCAGAGCATTCCAGAGTGATGGTGCCACTGCTGTGAAGGCTCTGCGTCTGGTTGCTGTTAGATGCAAGGTCTTGACACTGGGAATTTCCAATAGATCTTGGTCCTCAGAACGGAGGGATCTCTGGGGTTGGTAGGGGATGTAGCGGTCCCTCAGGTACATCGGCCCCAGACCATGCAAGGCCTTAAAGGTGAGTACCATCACTGTGAAAGTGATCCGGTACTCAATTGGTAACCAATGCAGCTGTAGTAAGATTGGTGTTATGTGGCATCTCATCGGAATTCTCGCAAGAAGCCGAGCAGCTGCATTTTGTACCAACTTGAGCTTCCGGATCACCGACAGAGGAAGGCCAATGTAGAGGGTGTTACAGTAGTCCAGTCTTGAGATGACCGTAGCCTGGATCACCATAGCTAGGTTGTCCCTGGACAGGTAGGGGGGCAGCCGTCTAGCCTGCCGCAGATGAAAGAAGGCGGTTCTGCTCACGGCGGAGACCTGTTCCTCCATCGTCAGCAGAGGGTCCAAAAGGACTCCCAGACTCTTTATCAATGGTGACGGGTGTAGTGCCTCGCCATCCAGGGTAGGCAGCTGGATATCCCCACTGCCTGGTTGACCCAGCCATAGGATCTCCGTCTTTGCTGGATTCACCCTCAACCTGCTGGCACGCAGCCATCCAGTAACGGCCTCGAGGCACTGATGGAAACAATCGGGTACAGAGTCCGGTCGGCCTTCCATCTTCAGCACCAGCTGAGTGTCATCGGCGTACTGATAACACTCAAGCCCAAAACCTTGAACCAGCTGAGCAAGTGGTTGCATATAGATGTTAAACAACAGAGGGGAGAGAATGGCCCCCTGAGGAACCCCACAAGATAGAGGGGACCTCTCAGAGACCAGGCCTCCCCTCTCCACTCGCTGTCCACGGTTGTGAAGAAAGGAGGACAGCCAATTTAAAGCTGTCCCCCTGACTCCAACAGCAGCAAGGCGGTGGGTCAAAAGATTGTGGTCGACTGTGTCAAATGCTGCTGTGAGATCCAATAGCACAAGCAGCGCTGACCCACCCTGGTCAAGCTGGCATCGAAGGTGATCCGTGATGGAGACCAGCACAGTCTCTGTCCCATGACCCGCACGGAAGCTGGACTGGAAGGGATCTAGTCCAGCTGTGTCATCTAGGAATTGCTGCAACTGCTCCGCTGCTGCCCTCTCAATCACCTTGCCCAGGAACGAGAGATTCGAAACTGGGCGGTAACTGGAAGGAACTGAACAATCTAAGTCTGGTTTCTTCAGCAGGGGAGAGACCACCACCTCTTTTAAACCCTCTGGAAAAACTCCTTGCTCAAAAAGAATAATTTTAATAAATATAAGCTTATTAGTATTTCAATAGGAAGTGTGGGCCTGCTTTTGGCTGATGAGATAGCATTGCTGTTGTTGTTGTTGTTGTTGTTGTTGTGTGCTTTCAAGTTGTTTCAGACCTAGGTTGACCCTGAGCAAGGGCCGGGTAAATGACCTTGGAGGGCCATATTTGGCCCCCAGGCCTTAGTTTGAAGACTCCTGGTTTAATCCATTGTGCCACTGGGGGCTCCTTGTAACCTTACCTTCCGGATAACCCTTGTATTAAAATACAGTTGAATTTAAAATGAGTTATAAGCACATCAATGAAGAACCATTTCTCAGCAGCTACTCAGATGCATGATTGATTGAATAGACTCAGGGCCCTTCCACATAGCCATGTAACAGAGATATCTGCGATGAACTGGGTTATCTGAGTCCACACTGCCATATATTCCAGTTCAAAGCAGATATTGTGGGGTTTTATTCAGCTGTGTGGAATCATAGAATCAAAGAGTTGGAAGAGACCTCATGGGCCATCCAGTGCAACCCCATTCTGCCAAGAAGCAGGAATATTGCATTCAAATCACCCCTGACAGATGGCCATCCAGCCTCTGTTTAAAAGCTTCCAAAGAAGGAGCCTCCACCACACTCCGGGGCAGAGAGTTCCACTGTTGAACGGCTCTCACAGTCAGGAAGTTCTCTCACAGTCAGGAAGGGGCCTTGGGTGCTAATGCTGTGATGTGTTCTTCCCTCCCCTTGCAGGCGGAGAGTATAAAGAAGATGTGGTGTGGAATTCCTCCGAGGTGCGCCGAGAAGCCAGCCTGATGCCTCCTTCTGAACTCTCCCCTTGCCCCACGGTCGTCACCTGGACGCATGGCAGCCTGGCGCCGTTGAAGGGCAATGGCTCGCAGCCCCGCTCCATCTCTGTGTCGACGATCTCCTCTTCAGACAACTGCTCCTCCGGCCAAGGGACCCCTGCCTGTGCGGACAACCTCTTGGAGTCGTTTGCCTTCCCCACCCATTGCGGGAGGCGCAACCTTAGGACTCCTCACAGCATCACCATCACGCCCCCCACCACGCCCCAGCTCAAGAGGGGGAAGCCCCCACGGACCCCTCCTCCGCCGAGCCGGAAGGTGTTCCAGCTGCTGCCCAACTTCCCAACCCTCACCAGGAGCAAATCCCACGAATCTCAGCTTGGCAACAGGATTGATGAAGTCCCTGCTATGAAGTAAGTCTTCTCCTCTGCCCACCTCCAACCCCCTCCCCACGTGCTTGCTTGTTTAAAGACAGTATTGCAGTGGTTCTCAACCTTCCTAATGCCGTGACCCCTTAATGCACTTCCTCATGTTATGGTGACCCCCAACCATAAGATTATTTTCGTTGCTACTTCATAACTGTCATTTTACTAATGTTATGGCTCGTAATGTAAATATCTGATAATCTGGGTGTATTTTCATTCAGTTGACCAAATTTATTTATTTATTTAAAACATTTATATTCCGCCCTTCTCACCCCAAAAGGGACTCTGTATATACGGCAAACATTCAATGCCGGAACACAAATTCAATACAAATATATATTCAAAACAACAAAATATTCCAGGAAGAGAATGCCACAAAAAAGTATTGTGAAAGATCACTTAATCGTATTGTCCAACAGACCTCACTACCTCTGAGGATGCTTGCCATAGATGCAGGCGAAACGTCAGGAGAAATGCCTCTATAACGGTGTTTCTCAACCTGGGGGTCGGGACCCCTAGGGGGGTCGCGAGGGGGAGTCAGAGGGGTCGCCAAAGACAATTAGAAAACACAGTATTTTCTGTTGGTTGCAGGGGTTCCGTGTGGGAAGTTTGGCCCAATTCTATCATTGGTGGAGTTCAGAATGCTCTTTGATTATAGGTGAACTATAAATCCCAGCCACTACAACTCCCAAATGTCAAGGTCTATCTTCCCCAAACTGCACCAGTGTCCACATTTGGTCACATTGAGTATTCATGCCAACTTTGGTCCTGATGCATCAGTGCTCTCTGGATGTAGGTAAACTATAACTCCAAAACTCGAGGTCAATGCCCACCACACTCTTCCAGAATTTGTTGTTGGTCATAGGAGCTCTGTGTCCCAAGTTTGGTTCAATTGCCTCACTGGTGGAGTTCAGAATGCTCTTTGAATATTGTAGGTGAACTATAAATCCCAGCAACTACAACTCCCAAATGACAAAATCAATCCTCCCCTCAACCCCACCAGTATTCAAATTTGGGCGTATCGAGTATTTGTGCCAAATGAATGAAAATACATCCTGCATATTGGATATTTACAAGATGGTTCATAACAGGAGCAAAATTATAGTTGTGAAGTAACAATGAAAATAAGTTGATGGTTGGGGGTCACCACAACATAAGGAACTGTATTAAGGGGTCACGGCATTAGGAAGGTTGAGAACCACTGCTCTAGAACATGGCCCTATAGCCCGAAAAAACCCACAAGAACCTAGAGATCACTTAATCATTTCAAAACATCATTTCTCTTGTTATATACATACATAAACATTAACAAATTTGGCACAAATCCCCAATATGCCCAAATTTGTATACTGGTGAGGTTGAGGGGATGGGGTGGGGGTCGATTACGTCATTTGGGAGTTGTAGTTGCTGGGATTTATAGTTCATCTACAATCAAAGAGAATTCTGAATTCCACCAACAATAGAATTGAACCAAACTTGACACACCGAACTCCCATGACCAGAAAATACTGGAAGGATTGGGTGGGCATTGAACTTGAGTTTGGGAGTTGTAGTTCACCTACATCCAGAGAGCACTGTGGACTCAAACAATGATAGATCTGGACCAAACTTGGCAAAATACTCAATAGGCCCAAATGTGAACATTGGTGTAGTTTGGGGAAAACAGATCTTAACATTTGGGAGTTGTAATTGCTGGGATTTATAGTTCATCTACAATCAAAGAGAATTCTGAACTCCACCAATGATAGAACTGAACCAAACTTGACACACAGAACTCCCATGACCAGCAGAAAATACTGGAAGGGTTTGGTGGGCATTGACCTTGAGCTTTGGAGTTGTAGTTCACCTACCTCCAGAGAGCACTGTAGACTCAAACAGTGATGGAGGTGGACCAAACTTGGCATGAATATTCAATATGCCCAAGTGTAAACACTTGTGGAATTTGGGGAAAACAGACCTTGACGTTTGGGAGATGTAGTTGCTGGGATTTATAGTTCCCACCAACGATAGAATTAGGCCAAACTTCCCACACAGAACCCCCACAACTGAGTTTTCTGATGGTCTTTGGTGACCCCTCTGGTACCCCCTTCGCTACCCTCCCAGGGGTCTTGACCCTCAGGTTGAGAAACACTGCAGTATTAAAACAGATGGACCAGAACTCTGACTTAAAGCTTCCTCTGGAAGTCAACTGCATATATTAAATGTCTACATATATATGACTGACCCATTGTTTTCTCCCCCTCTTTTTCTCTCTTTGTGTCTTTTAGGTTTGGTAAGAGATATTTTATCTTGGCATCTGCTTCAGAGGGTGGGAGAGCGTATGTCGCACCTTGTAGATTTGAAGTATATTCTTTCCCACGAATCCCTGCTCATCTTCACCGGAAGTTTGCTCCAAAACAGTAGGATCCACTCATTCCAAATGGAAGCTCTTTAAAGTTTGGGGAGGAAGAGTCAGAAATTGTGGGTTTCTTGTATTTGAAAGCTCTGTGTCACACTTGTTTTGAATCATTCTATTATAGCAGCAGAGTTAGGGACAAACAAGAGAGGAGTTTAAACCTGAGTTTATCCTACTTGTGATAAAGTGAATGCGCCCTGGTGGTGCAGCGGGTTAAACCGCTGAGCTGCGGAACTTGCTGACCAAAAGGATGGTGGCTCGAATCCAGGGAGCGGGCTGAGCTACCGCTGTTAGCACCAGCTTCTGTCAGAACATGCATATGTGAGTAGATCAATATTTACAGCTTCTGTGGGAAGTTCACACTGGGCATGCATACTCAGCAGCAGGGTAGCATAGCGCAGAGCAGATGTCTTCACTGTGTCTGGTTGTGATCCCCAGGTTGTGCCAGTCAGCTTTCGTATGATATTATTTCTAGCACCCACCTTTTGGCTTGATATTCAAGCAGTGCTTCTTATAAGTCAGAGCATGGTCCAGAGTGACTCCCAGGTATTTGGGTGTGTTGCAATGCTCCAGTGGGATTCCTTCACAGGTAATCCTCAGAGCTTGAGATGCTTGTCTGTTCTTAAAATGAAAAGCACATGTCTGTGTTTTAGATGGATTAGGGATCAGCTGGTTTTCCCTGTAATAGGCAGTAAGAGCACCTAGAGCTTTGGAGAGCTTCTGTTCAACCATCTCAAAGCTCCCTGCTTGAGCAGTAATGGCATGATCATCAGCATAGATGAAGCTCTCTGTCCCTTCTGGCAGTGGCTGGTCATTTGTGTAAATGTTGAACATGGATGGAGCAAGCACGCTCCCCTGAGGCAAGGCCGTTCTTCTGTTTCCGCCATCTGCTTCTCTGGCCCTGGAACTCAACAAAAAAGCTCCTGTTTTGTAGCAGGTTTCCTATGAGGCGGGTGAGGTGGTAATCCTTTGTGGTATTATACATTTTTCTCAGGTTGAGGCGGCGGTTTAGAGTATCATAAGCTGCTGACAGGTTTAATGGTGCTCCATGCAGTCATGCTGGCCACATGACTTTGGAGGTGTCTAAGGACAATGCCGGCTCTTTGGCTTAGAAATAGAGATGAACACCACCCCCCGAGCCAGACACGACTAGACTCAATATCAGTGGGAAACCTTTACCTACCTGTACCCTGAATGTGTTTGACATAGCAAGAAAAAGGCCTTTCTCCCAAGCAATCCCCTCTACAAAATAACTTGATTTTTAAGTCTGGCTGAAGGGAAGAATGTTGAGACCATTAAGCAGGAAAACAACACCTCTTTAAACTCCAAATACCAATATTTAATATCGCAGAGCCATGGCTGTTCATGCAGAATAATAGCACTATCATCATCATCATCATCATCATCATCATCATCATCATCATCATCATCTATATATATATAAAAATGCTCTGTGCATAATGAGTACCTTAAAAACAAAAGAACCAATGAACGAATTCACACCAAATTTGGCAACAAAACCTCTCACAACACAAGGAGTGACCATCACTCAAAAAATTATGGTTTTGTCATTTAGGAGTTGTAGTTGCTGGGATCTATAGTTCACTTACAATCAAAAAGCATTCTGAACTCCACCAATGATGGAATTGAACCAACTTGGCATACAGAACTCCCTTGACCAACAGAAAATACTGGAAGGGTTTGGTGGGCATTTACCTTGAGTTTGGGAGTTGTAGTTCACCTACGTCCAGAGAGCACTGTGGACTCAAACAATGATAGATCTGGACCAGACTTGGCATGAATACTCAATATGCCCAAATGTGAACACTGGTGGAGTTTGGGGAGAATAGAATCTTGAGATTTGGGAGTTGTAGTTGCTGGGATTTATAGTTCACCTACAATCAAAGAGCATTCTGAACTCCACCAATGATGGAATTCAACCAAACATGGCATACAGGACTTCCATGACCAACAGAACACACTGGAAGGGTTCGGTGGGCATTGACCTTGAGTTTGGGAGTTGTAGTTCACCTGCATCCAGAGAGCACTGTGGACTCAATGATGGATCTGGACCAAACTTGACACAAATATTCCATATGCCCAAATATGAACACAGATTGAGTTTGGAGGAAATAGACCTTGACATTTGGTATTTGTAGTTACTGGGATTTATAGTTCACTACAATAAAAGAGCCTTCTGAAACCCACAAACGACAGAAATGGGGCAAACTTCCCACACAGAACCCCCATGACCAACAGAAAATACTTAAGGCCATCCAGTCCAACTCTCTTCACCAGGTCAAGAAAATGTAATCAGAGCCCTCCTGACAAAGAGCCATCCAGTCATAAATATAGATAGATATGATTCTCTCTCTCACACACACAGATATAGTATCATAGATTTGAAAAAGTCCCTTAAAGAAGGACTATGATATGTTGCATATTCCAGAGTAGGCAAACCAGACACTCTCCAAATCAACACTGACAAAGAAACAACAAGAAATACTGCTCACCCACAAGCAGAAAGGAATTACATATATTAGAAACCAACACTTTCTCATTACTTTATTTTCCAGATCACCAGACTGGGCCACAGCAACGCGTGGCAGGGGACAGCTAGTAATATAATAAAACTTTATTTATACCCTGCTCCATCTCCCCCAAGGGGACTCGGTGCAGCTTACATGAGGCCACGCCCATCAATACAGTACAACAATATAACACAAAAACATAATAAAACCAAACAAAAATACAAAAAAAATGCAAAGATATAATACAACACAACAATATAAAACCAAGTATTAAAAAAACCAGAAGATTTCACTGGGGAGGGCCAGATTCAGGGATAAAAATTTTAAAAACACTGAGAGATAGGACAATGTAAATTGTATAGTGTGAATGGGTCCCATACCTTAACCCAGCAATTGTTCTTTCTCCCTAGTTGTGGTTCACATTTTGCCGTAATATCTGAATATAGGCCTCACCATTCCTGAATTGGAAGCTGTGCTTTGATCCTCTCCACCACTCACATTCTTTCCCTGTTTTCAAAGTTTTTGTTGTATTTAATCTCATAGTCATCATGTGATTCCACACCTGGTATCCAGGGAAGTCATGCTACCCATGCTCTATTCTGCCTTGGTTAGACCACACCTGGAATCACACTGTGTCCAGTTCTGGGCACCGCAGTTGAAGGGAGATGTTGATCCTAAGCTGGAATCAACAGAGGAGGGCGACTCAAAAGATCAAGGGTCTGGAGAACAAGCCCTATGAGGAGTGGCTTAAAGAGCTGGGCATGTTTAGCCTGAAGAAGAGGAGGCTGAGAGGAGACATGATAGCCATGTATGTGGGGGGAATTATGTCATAGGGAGGAGAGAGCAAGCTTGTTTTCTGCTGCCCTAGAGACTAGGACGCAATGAAGCAATGGCTTCAAATTTCTCAAAAGGATATTCCACCTGAACATTAGGAAGAACTTCCTGACTGTGAGAGCAGTTCAGCAGTGGGACTCTCTGCTTCAGAATGTAGTGGAAGCTCCTTCTTTGGAGGCTTTGAAGCAGAGGCTGGGTGGCTATCTGTTGGGGGTGCTTTGAATGCGATTTTCCTGCTACTTGGCAGAATGGGGTTGGACTGTATGGCCCACGAGGTCTCTTCCAACGCTATGATTCTGTGATTAGAATCTGAGAAATAGAGGAATTGTCCCAGAACTGGGTGGGGTCTCTCTTCTGATGTCCCACTTCGTTAATCATGTTTCAAAATGAGTATTTTTAAAAGTCTGCGGTATGTAATGAGTAAGTTGGCTTCAACTTGAAACTAATTTTTCTCTGCATCCTTTGATACTTGGGGTCACAACTGGAGTCATATTAGTCACCAGTTACAGATAGATATTAGTCACCAGAGATGTGAATAATTATTATAGCAGATCTTTGGTTATGATTTGATTGTGTGAGTCTTATGATTTGGAACTTTGGATGATTTCATGAATTTATTTATCGTGTCAGGGGCAGACTAGACAGTTGTATTGCACTTTTTAAACAAACAAACAAACAAACCACAAAATTTGCAAGGTTGGTAGTTGATTAAATGTCCTTTGACCAGTATCTGGCCACTTGAAGGGCCTCTGGTGTTGCCGCAAGAAGGTCCTCCATTGTGCATGTGGCAGGGCTCAGGTTGCATTGCAGCAGGTGGTCAGTGGTTTGCTCTTCTCCACACTCGCATGTCGTGGATTCCACATTGTAGCCCCATTTCTTAAGATTGGCTCTGCATCTCGTGGTGCCAGAGCGCAGTCTGTTCAGCGCCTTCCAAGTCGCCCAGTCCTCTGTGTGCCCAGAGGGGAGTCTCTCATTTGGTATCAGCCATTGATTGAGGTTCTGGGTTTGAGCCTGCCACTTTTGGACTCTCGCTTGCTGAGGTGTTCCAGCGAGTGTAGATCTTAGAAAACTATTTCTTGATTTAAGTCGTTGACGTGCTGGCTGATACCCAAACAAGGGATGAGCTGGAGATGTCTCTGCCTTGGTCCTTTCACTATTGTCTGCTACTTCCCGGCAGATGTCAGGTGGTGCAATACCGGCTAAGCAGTGTAATTTCTCCAGTGGTGTAGGGCGCAGACACCGTGATAATGCGGCATGTCTCATTAAGAGCCACATCCACTGTTTTAGTGTGGTGAGAAGTGTTCCACACTGGGCATGCATACTCAGCAGCAGAGTAGCATAGCGCAAGGGCAGATGTCTTCACTGTGTCTGGTTGTGATCCCCAGGTTGTGCCAGTCAGCTTTGGTATGATATTATTTCTAGCGGATTTCATGAAGGCATTGAGGTTTCCATTAGAACAGCTTTGGCAGTTCTGAATGGGTTGCGTGACATATGTCTAGAGGAGGGCGTCTC